CTGCTGGAGAGTCTGATAGAAAGCCAGCTCACTGCACAGGTAGTTATTCATTAACAGGTTTCAACAGAGCTCTACGATAAAAGGGGACAAGATTCAAGAATTGTGCATTATTCGGTTTTTTAAGCAACAGTTACATTAGACTTATATTGGCTACTTAGCGAGAATCAATTCGGTGAGCAACAGACATCAAGGATGCTGGCTGATGAAGAAGACGAAGTAAGCTAGGTAGCCAATATAAGGCTTAGCAGGACAGATAAATGTGGGCTCACTATTTGGCAAGCAACCTGTCACAGTCGCCCTGTTTATCTCATGTCTTATAAAAGCTTATTAATGATTTATAAAGTGTTCACAAGCTAATTAATAAATGAATTACAAACTATTGGTAAACCCTTTATAAGGGTAGTCTTATTGTAAAGTGGTACCGACTTTTCATTACATTTTGTTCAGCTTTGGACCACTTGTTGGGGGTTTTCCCTGGCCTGTAGTGTGTTTTGTGTGCATGTTAATGGTCTGCAAAGGCTACAATCCCTCTGTTCACTCCGCCTTAAACAACTCCATTGAACTCTTTATTTACTTCCTGAACATAATGCTGTCACTATGTAACACTTGCGCTTCTATTGGCTAGCGCTCCAACACATTGTACGTGATAGGCTAAGGGATGGGACGTCTCTAAGCGGTTGACCAATCACAACAGAGCCGGCCAGCTAACCAATCAGAGCAGACTGGGCTCTGGTTTCAGACAGAGGGTGAACAGAGGTGCTGCAGCACAGGCAGTATGAGAATAACAAAGAGCTTTTTGAACATTAAAGCATGGAGACATGTCAATATTTGAGTACATACAGCTTATTGATACAGACTACAATTAAGCGAATCAAATAGAATCTTGTCAGTAATTCACCTGTTGACCAACAGGTGAATGTGGGCAAGGAATACTGTGGATAGGTGAAAAATGTTTTTTTTAAAACTATACAAAGAGCTTGTCAGACCAAATGTAGTTTGGGGGTGTTTTGTTAGTATATGAAACAGTTTCCGTCCCTGCACAGCGGACAGTAGAGGACTCTCTGCCTGAATATTATTGAGATGTGACGTCCAATGCTAAATAACTGGAATGCTTCACATATTTGTGGTTTTTCACTCAGCAGGAGAAGCAGGAAAACAGTCGCACGGATAAACAGACAGAAAACACTGCAGCAGTCAAAGGGAACTGAGCTAAAAGCTCTTTTAAAAAACACTCGGTATTAAATAATCAGTAAGCAGCAGGTTAACCAATGACAGTTTGTTTGATCCTGGCGGGTGTTGAGGGACTTTTATTTACTATGAGAGGCGGGTCTGTGTGAAGCAGCGACACTGTAAGAAGTAATGGTGCAGTGCTGAAAGTGAGGATGTCATGAGGCTTAAAGTCTCTACCTTTTTAAAAGTGCTATTAATGTGTAATTAATGTTAATGCATTTCAAGAGTGTTGTTTAACCCTAAATACAACACTCTATATACCTGTTACTGCAATGTGTCCTTTTCTATTGTAACTTCTTAGGTTTACATACATATTTTATTATATTTGTCTTGTCTTTAATGGACTTTTAACTTTATTTCTTATATTTGTATACACTTGTTGACATTCCAACTTCATTTTCTAAGTTTTTATTTTATCTTAATTATTTTGTGTTTACCTTTTTTGTGTTATTTCTTCTAAAATGGAGCGACTTTCAGGAAACACACTTTGACCCAGGGAAAATAAAGCATTCGGATTGATTGTTTTGTACAATAATTTTCAAAGCTTGAATTCAATAACATGTAAAGTGTCTTTGAAACATTGCTTGGACAAATAAACATTTTAAAGGTGTCACTTTGGGTAATTGTGATGTCATCTTTCACTATTTTTACAGTTACGTCCTCTTTATCCTCATATATCCCGTTGGTGAGACTTTAACTCCTGCATAAAAACGAGTATAATTGTCTCCAAAAAGGTCCCACAGGTCCCACTCTTCTGTCAGTGTGCTGTGAACACCAGGAGATCATCAAGCTCTCCACTGCAAGGTCACCATGTTCGCCATTTCCAGGTGGCCTTCAAAGTAAAAGCTTTAGATTCCTCATGTTTTAAAAATGAAGACTGGTTTTACTTTATTGACCTCTCTTGACAGATATCTATTACCAAGAACGTACATCAATTGTTGGTTTTATATTGGGTTATTTTAACTTGTGTAGCCAAATGAAATGTAAAATAAATATTGTGAATAATTGGTTGATTCTCACATTTATTGCATGTTTGTCAAGAAAACCCTCCTTAAATAATCACTAAACTTATTTGAAATAAGGACTTAGTGTCTCAAATGATGACTTACTATCTCACAGTTATTACTCAAGTCACGTTTTCGAGAATGTTATATATATTCAAACATTATTAGGAGATACTCCTAAATCAAATCAAATCAAGTTTTATTTATATAGTACATTTATAAACGATTTTTGGTCGAGCCAAAGTGCTGTAGGCTACATATAATAAGCTAATACAACAGCACAGATTGTTCAGAATATCAGTATGAGAAAAAACGACACCCTCTATCCTTAGACTAAGTCATTAAGTTGGTAAATGGAGCCATTGTTTTATATATTTAATCATTTCTTTGTGATATTCAAGAATTATTTGAGGTAGTTTCATAGTTTTAGATCTTAAAGGACACCTATCATGCTATTTGTAGGCAATAGCATAAGTCTCAGATATATACAAATATATGAAAAACATGTCTATGAAGTGTTTAGCTCAAAATACTAAACAGATCACCCATTCTAGCCATGCCTCATATCCCTCTATTTCACTTCCTGTTTCAAAAGTGCTGATTTTGAGTATAAAGCTTTAAAAAAAAAAAAAATTGATAAAAAAAAGAGGGGCGGAGCTTATGCCTGCTCATGCGGGAGATTCTACCGGCAGATACTGCGGTGATAAAACGCCATATCATGGACTATCAAGGATTCTCTCTGAAACAGTTTGGAGCTCAAAGGCTTTCTCTCTTGCCGGTTATACCACAAGGTGAGTTCCTTTTTACTTCCTGCTTCTTCACACACATGCTCTCCAGTACAGGTTAGCTCTGAGTGTTAGCGATGCTAATGTAAACACCGACCATATTACGTCCAAAACAGTCGGGTATTGTTTCTGATAGCAACTTTCTGATTGGGCCGTGGGTCCATATTTCAGATATTACGTCATATCGGACTCAAATCTGGATCAGCTCCGTTGTTCCCCGTTTTTAGAGATTTGGGTACGGAGGAAAAGAGAGAGGGTTTTATTTGCTGACGCTGCGTGAGTTCCCCGACACACCGGGGACACATGTTTATATATAAAAGACATCAAAAAGTGCATTTTGCATGATAGGTCCCCTTTAAGTAATTTTTTTGGCAAAACTATCATTTGGAAAAGGTTTGACAAAACGATTTAAAGCATCTGTAGGAGCCAAAATGCTTGTTTTTCCAATGCTTATTATTTCTATAATTGTCACATGGATCCAAGACTTCAAGATTCAAAGGTTTATTGTCATAAACACAACTACGGTGTAATTATGTAATGAATGATCAACGAAGATCGCACTTTCCTCAACAGTGCAATCAACATTAAATAAATATGGTTTATTGGTATTTAGGTCACCTGTCTCACGCCGGTTTTGTGGATGACAAAGAGGGTCAATCGCTCTGACCTTTTCTGTTGACCGTGTTTGTCCAAACTTGGTTGTTATTGTTTGTTTCTTTATTAAACATCGTTGAACTCTGACTTCAGTCTGGACTCTTCTGTGGAAAGTGTCACAGCGATGAGCAAAGTTTAGACTCAAAGCGACATGACTCATATATTTGTATTAACTACTTGACTACTTTTTTACGATGTTGTATTTTAGTGTTGCCTCTGTGTTTAGTGTCCTGTCTGTCTGTAACTTTGTGTGGTAGTGTTACCACTGACAGGTCTCTCTTGAAAATGAGATCTTGTGTCTCAATGAGATCTACACCTGTATAAATAAAGGCTAAAAAAAAATTAACTTGCACATCTCAAAACATTCTCTTGCACTATTTAATTTGTTTTATTCGTCCTATGTCCTATATTCATGTTGCACTGTTGGAGGAGCCTGTGACCTAAGTTTTCCATTGCCATATCTACACTGTAGCTAATGTGCACATGGCAATAAAGCCTTCAATCTTGAACATTACATTTCATTTGTTCCGTTCATGGTATGCACTACTTAATATATAACAATTATTTACACAACATGTCTCTATAGAGACATGTTGTGTAAATAATTATATAAACACACACACACACACACACACACACACACACACACACACACACACACACACACACACACACATACCATATAAATAAATAAATACATATATATATATAAATAAACACACCATAAGGAAGCAGGAGCAGGGAGAAGAAAATAATGTTATATTACTGCCCCTTTCTCAAAAAATAAATAAATAGAAATTGATGCTCTAAAAAGATTCTCTCAGATTCTTTTTCTCCTGATTAATTTATATAAAAGCCTGAAAATGAGCCGATCAGATTTTGGCCACTTTATGATGTCATAACGATGTTTTGTCTTGTGTAACCATTAGCCAATCACCAACCAAGGTAACCCCCCCCCTTATCACCTGAATCTCCTCCTAGAGCACCATTGTGTTCTTTGTAACCAAATCTCTCTCAGAGGGGCGTGGGGAGGGGCTCCTTATTTTCATCTAAAGTAACAGACAGAGAATCAGCACTTTTTGAAACAGAGGGGATTATGGGATGCATGCTGCAATGATCAGTTTGGTATTTAGAGCCAAACACTTCAGAGACATGTTTTGTATATGATATACAATCTGAGACCTATAATGTATTGATGAAAAACAGTTTAATAATAGGGGACCTTTAAACAGCGAAATTAACCGGAAACCACTTTTATTTTGAAGTCTATCACCAGAAGTTACGTTAATGGCGCTTCTTGCCGTTCTTTAACCTAACCGCAGCTTGACTGTATTTCCCCGGTGACACATCTCCTCCTCTCCTCCTCCTCCTCCACCACCTCCACTTCGCCATTGTGTGCGGAGCTCGGTGAGTGTTGAGGTCGAGGCAGCCGCCGCCGGAGAAGGAGAACCGATGGCGGAGTAGAAACTGACAATTTAAACGGACTAACTGCTGGTTTCTCCTCCATCTTCTTCCCTTTCTTCGTCTTCCTCCTGACCGTAAAACAGCTCCTGTTCCCGGCCTCACCGACGACACCCATGCAGCAGAGGAGACCCTGGATGGGACTAGCTACATGTGGTGAGTGACAGACCACCTTTTATACCCACTAACTTGTCCTGGTGCTGCCCGGCAAGAGAGCCGTTTGTCGGTCACAGTGGCAGCCGTTGGTCGGTTAGAGAGCCGTTGGTGTTGTAACTTATGGAAGAAAGCTGCTGTTATTTTATATAGTGTTAAAATATTTTATTGTAGTTAAAACCATTACTCAAACAGGGACTGACTGGTTGACAGATAGATAGATATATTTGTGTATCTTTACATATGCTCCTTACTCTTTATTTTTACTCATTGTTATTTGTATGAAAAGGTAGGCTACTATATAATACAGTTTTATTATTATTATTATTATTATTATTATTAATCCCAAATTGGGTAATTGTTATGGCACCACAGCATTTTGACAGTCAATGTACAATAATTACAACATTTCTTAAAAATAGAATAGAAATAAACCTTTAAAAACAATATATACATATTCTCAAAACACATACATTCAGAAGGATATCTACTATAACATACAGAATACATTACTCTCTAATAAACCAATCGTAACAAGTGTGCACATTAGCTTTCAATTAAAAGTCAAATATATCCTAACAATCAGAAAGAGTACATTTTTTTAGATGTCAAATGTAATGAGAAGAACCGTATTTCCCCACGGTGCTGTGTGGAGGTTGTGGCCGGGTGTGGGTGCCTGGTGGCGGGCAGGTGGCGGGGAGCAGCCGGTGGCCTGGAGGTCCGGAGGGTCTGGGAACCAGCTGCTGCTCTGACAGCTGCAAACCGCGCTCACTGTCACCCGCAGTGATTTATATTTACCAGAGTGAAAAGACAGACATGTGAGCAAGTCTTTATGTCAGGGAAATGGTGAAAACATGGCTTTTAAATCCCCCAAAATGTGGACAGAAATGACATTTATCCTCTGTAATGTAACGTTCAATGATTGGTCTTATAAGGGTTTTAATTCACTTAGTTCTAGTAGTCATCTAAAGCTGCAATGATCATTTAATAACACGTTGATAAACACAACATGTGTGTGCAACTTTTATAATCTCAAAGTCTTTTTAGTAACTTTTTAAAGCAAAAATGCCGAACATGACCTACTACCAGTTTCTCGATGTGATGATTTGCAGTTGTTCTTTGTTATATATCACAACAATTGAATCATCTTCAAGTTATCCAGATAAACAAAGCAAATAAGACACTAATGGGGCCAACTATTTAACATTTCCAAACAATTGATTGATTTATCAAAGAACAATTCCACCGATTAATCAATAATGGAAAATGTATTTAGCTGCAGCCCCTCCCACTTTACTTATGTTCTGGTATGAGTATCAACACACCCGTCATGTCCCCCGCTTGATAAGTAGTTCATGTTCTTAATATTAATTATAGCTTGCAATAGACTGAAACTAGATTTGTTTATACAGGCTTCGATATTTTTAATGAACAAGATTTGTACTTTTTAACAGTCAAAGTATCAAAAAAGAACCAACAGTTAATAAAGTAGTATTTAGTGTGGAAAAGCCTGAACCGTAAATATATGTTCACCTGTCAATGACATCCTCAACTTGTGTCATGTGGTATTCCTGTATTGTAGTGTATATACATGTATTATTGGCAAAGATTATTGTTTGATATTTTATCACTAAAATCCCCCGTGTAATCTAGAAGCCCTTACGCACTGATATCTAGAATATGATGATCGCGTGTGACCTGCAGTAAATAAACAAACCAAAAGATAATGACCTTAAATTCCTATTTAGAAATGGGATATCGGGAAACAATACACTTTCAATTTAAGAAACAACCAACAAATGCTTGCTTTCTTAATGTCATAGTAACGTGTCATTTGACGGCTTCACTACAGGTGAGGTTTGTGTGAGTTGAGACATGAGTTTGACTGAGAGTTTATGTTTTATGGCGTTCAACAGTGGCCACAAGAATAGAATGAATGTAAAAAAGTGTGAATGATACCTGTATACATGATTTGTTACATTTAGACGGCGTGTATAAATCCAGTGTTGCCGAGTTGTGTTGACACTGGCTGTGGTGACTCAGATCTGCAGCTGGGGGATCAAAGGTCAGTGCTGTAAGTTTCCTGGTGTGGAGTCCAGCTTTAAAGAGAAGAATGTGGCGTGGAGCAGCAGCAGTTCAAAAAGTGGAGCAGGCGGAGTTACAGCAGACTGACAGACGTTCACTCTGCTCGCAGTACAATCAGCACTTTGTGTGTATTATGTAAGACTTCGACATTGGACTCACACACTCTGCAGGATGCCAGTTACAATCAACTCTGACACAAGATGAGGAAGACACAGCTGTGCTGCAGTGTGGACAGCTTCAATTGGCTGATCCAGTTCATCAAGTTCCTTATTTAAGTCATTCATAAAGTAACAGGACTTACTACTCTGTCTGAAACCAGAGCCCAGTCTGCTCTGATTGGTCCTCTGGCCGGCTCTGTTGTGATTGGTCAACCGCTTAGAGATGTCCCGCCCCTTATCCTATCACGTACAATGTGTTGGAGCGCTAGCCAATAGGAGCGCAAGTGTTCCAGAAATAAATAAAGGAGGCAAATGGAGGCGTTTCAGGCAGGGGGGGGGGAACACAGGGATTTTAACCTTTGCAGACCATTTACATGCACAGAAACGATCACACTACAGGGAAGGGTTAACCCCAAAAAGCACATGTTAATGCTAACATCAGCGCCGATGTACATGATGCAGGGACAGTACAGTGTCATCAATACAAACTCTTGGATGGTAACCAAAACTAATTCTACAGAAGCCAGAGTAAGAAAACATTTAATAATGATATATTATACTACTTGCATACATTCAGACTACAGCTGAGGCTGGTCAGGATGTTATCAGTTTGCATGGTGTTGGTCATACACCAAAGTGCTGGACACTAAGAAACCTTCATGTTTGGAGTAAAGTTAAGCTTTCATTATTTTGTATTTACTTCTTTTACACACCTCTGTCTGTTCTGACCAACACCCAAACAAAACCCATGGCCTGTCATTTCTGTAACATCAGACTGACTCATCGCTGACTCAAGAAACTGAAACAGCTTGTGTCTCAGTTTCTGTGTGAAGTGGGAGCATCAAATATGCAAATGAGTTGTTTGCTTTTTATCTTTGAGCTGAAGTGACTGCTGCTGGACACACACACACACACACACACACACACACACACACACACACACACACACACACACACACACACACACACACTGGTGAGGAGACGTGAGCAGCACATACAGGATTTCTCACTTCCTGGAGTCTTGCTGTAGTTTCCCTTTAAACACAGTAATCGACAGAAACAAGGAACACACTCGTACTTTTATAGCTGAGTTCTAACTAAAGAGACACACATACTAAACTCTCACAACATAAAGTTAGATAACTGGATGTTTAGCTTTTATTTTAACATTTGTTTGACATTATAAGAATCAGAAATAGTGTTACCAATGAAATTGTGGGCCTAAACTGAGCAACGGAAATCTCTTTTACTTCCTGAGAGCAGTAATTATAAGAGTCTCTTTAAACAGGTCAGTGTGCAGCAACATGTTCCTACATGTCCGGCAGAGCAGCGTGGGCACACACACACACACACACACACACATACACACACACACACACACACACACACACACACACACACACACACACACACAGGTAGATAAACACAGTATCGGTTCCTTTGAGTCATGATAATGATTTAACCTTTTGGGTTTTGATGCATTTTGTTTAACATGGAATCTGTTTCTCTGTGACAGCTTTGTTAAAGTATCAGCAAATTCAAACTCTAGTGCGGCCCGCTCCATAAAACTCTTCAATTGACTGCATCGGTATCATTCATTTAGTCCTTTTTCAAAATAGACAAAGAGACACCCACACAAACTCTCTTCTTTCCATAAACCTCAAATCTGACAGATGAAACCCCGGACCTGTGTCTACACTTCTGCCAGAGAGTCATTATAAAACATATGTTGATGCACGCTTTTTTTGAAGCCGCTCTCACACAGCCAGCAGCTCCTCGCAGCTCCTCTCAGCTCCTCGCAGCTCCTCGCAGCTCCTCCCAGCTCCTCCCAGCTCCTCGCAGCTCCTCGCAGCTCCTCTCAGCTCCTCTCAGCTCCTCTCAGCTCCTCTCAGCTCCTCCCAGCTCCTCTCAGCTCCTCTCAGCTCCTCTCAGCTCCTCTCAGCTCCTCCCAGCTCCTCACAGCTCCTCCTAGCTCCTCTCAGCTCCTCTCAGCTCCCCACAGCTCCTCTCAGTTCCTCTCAGCTCCTCTCAGCTCCTCACAGCTCCTCACAGCTCCTCCCAGCTCCTCTCAGCTCCTCTCAGCTCCTCTCAGCTCCTCTCAGCTCCTCTCAGCTCCTCTCAGCTCCTCCTAGCTCCTCCCAGCTCCTCACAGCTCCTCTCAGCTCCTCACAGCTCCTCACAGCTCCTCTCAGCTCCTCTCAGCTCCTCTCAGCTCCCCACAGCTCCTTTCAGCTCCTCTCAGTTCCTCTCAGCTCCTCACAGTTCCTCTCAGCTCCCCACAGCTCCTCTCAGTTCCTCTCAGCTCCTCTCAGCTCCTCTCAGCTCCTCACAGCTCCTCACAGCTCCTCCCAGCTCCTCTCAGCTCCTCTCAGCTCCTCTCAGCTCCTCTCAGCTCCCCACAGCTCCTCTCAGCTCCTCTCAGTTCCTCTCAGCTCCTCCCAGCTCCTCTCAGCTCCTCGCAGCTCCTCTCAGTTCCTCTCAGCTCCTCTCAGCTCCTCACAGCTCCAAACATCGACGCACATTCCTAATATGCGTCATTTGGATGAAAGTATCACATATTGGTAATATCAATGAGTTTGAAAGTTGTTTTCATTGACGTGCAAAAGTTGGTAGTTTTTGTTGCAGACTTAAAGCAGCAACATGTCCCTCCTGCACAGAGCAGATAGTGATCATCAACACGACCCCTCATCACAGCTTATGTAGGAAAAACCAGGACAAGAGCTTTTGTCTGTTATCTGAATTTAATCTTAACCAGATCATAACTGGGAAACCGGCGGAATGAAAACACACACACACACAGTCACACACATACAAACACACACACACATACATACACACACACACACACACACACATACAAACACACACATACCATACATACATCACTTCAGGGGACATTACATTGACTTACATGCATTTCACGGAGACTCATCCTAACCTTAACCATAACCAACACTTGCCTAACCCTAACCCTTACCCTTAACCCTAACCCTTAACCTTAACCAAGTCTTCACCCTAAAATGAATGATTATCCATTATGTCCCCATAAGGGAGGCGAGTCCCCACACGTGACTGTGTAAACAGATTTAGGTCCCCACAAGTATAGTAATACTAGGTCACACACACACACACACACACACTGTCCACAGGATACAGCTCCTGTAAAGTGTGCACTGCAGGAGTGTGTTTGTGGAGGAGAAAGATGGCGTGTGTTTGTGGGGGGGGGGGGGGGGGGGGGGGGGGGGGGTGTCGTCAGGTTGACTGAACACTGAAGCGGCTGAGCAAGAAATTCCTGTGGAGTCGCTGCAGCTCGGGGGGGAAACGGCTCCACGGTGAGACAGAGACACGCTGACCTCACTGTCCTCTCTGACATCACAAGGTGTCACACACAACATCAACATGTGTCTCTGCATGTGACATCACAAGGTGTCACACACAACATGTGTCTCTGCATGTGACATCACAAGGTGTCACACACAACATGTGTCTCTGCATGTGACATCACAAGGTGTCACACACAACATGTGTCTCTGCATGTGACACCTGAAAGCAGCCCTACCTCTTACATTAGAAAAGTGGCTGATTTTTGTTTCATTTACGCTGAAGCAGCTGAAACAAGTCAAGTCACATGACTCTGAGGTTGCTGGTTTCGCTTTTGGTGTGTGCTGTGACTAATTGTATTACAATGTTATGTTAATGAATGTTTCTCACGCCACAGGTGAGTTGTTACAGGTGTGTCAGTTGAAGAACTCTGAAGGTGATCAGTGTGAAGCCAATTGTCATTACATATGTTGGCAGAACTTTGAAGTTCAATAGTTTGAAGTCATTTTTAAATCCAACGTACCTGAGATGTGATTCTTCCAGCTCCTTAAATGTGAAGATGTGCTGCTTTTCTTCGTCCTATTTGATCAAAAAAAGGGGAGAAAACCATCAGTAACGATATTGAGTGTTTAAGAGAACTCAAAGAGTATCTATACATCTGAAACGATGCATAACAGAGCTGCAATAATAAGTCAATCAGCAACTACGTGAGATTATCAATGCATTGTTTCAAACAGACTCACTGCGTCGGCCTGATGAAGGTCCAACACCAGAATGTATAAAACAAATGTCCTTCAGCCGGTTGGACACATGCAGCAGTTTGTTTTTAACCTGTGTCTCCACAAGTCTCATTGTGTGCAACATCGATTTCAGTATTCTTTTGTAATTAAAATGTGCTGACTAAGACCCCGTTTACACGAGGACGAAACGGGTTGTATCCGCATAGTTTCTCTCGCGTATAGCCCTTCCGTTCACACGAGGCCGGAACGGGACGGACCCCGCAAACGATAACGGGTCCCAAGGTGGATATATCTGCAAACGGAACGCTCTGGGGGGCAAACGGCTCCGTGTGTGCGTCCTATACGATCGTTCCCCGATAGATGAAGCCATAGCCCCGCCTGCTACTGACCACGCTACAGATGCTAGTGCAACATCTACAGCTCCTCAACCATCAGCGACAAGTGGACATGGAGAGCTACATGAACTACATGTTGCTAAATCCACCGCGGGGCTTAAACAGAAGGGCAGCCATGCTCGGAGGTCTTCTTCGCTGCTTTTGGTGTATTTTGTGGCGGCAGCAGCGCCACTTACAGGCCCGGCGTATGTACTACAGCGCTCTCGTGTGAACGGACACGTTAAATGAATCGAATGCGTGTGAACGGAATACTTTTTTGAAAACGCATACGGTGCGTAAACGCAAACGTTCCCGTGTACATGGGGTCTAAATGTGTTGACTAGTTTGGTCTTAACAGTGAAGTATCTTTAATATCTTTGGGTTTTGGACATTTGATGACGATGCTTTTGTCTCGAGGAAATGGAAAGCCTGAAACTAATCAGCTAATAGAAAACTATCGATATTTGCACACGTAACTGGAGGTAAAACTGAAATCACTACATCAAACTTAGATTTATAAAACAAGTGGATCCAGGTGCCTGAGGTCACCTGGACAGGAGGTCACATGACCTCCTGTCCAGGTGACCTCAGGTCATGTGACCTCCAGAGTTTATACTGAGTCTCCCTCTGCACTGTGAGAGCAGAGCGCTGTAACACAACACCAGCTCTGATAGTTTACTCAATGGAAAGGTATGCAACACACACACACACACACAACCACACACACACACACACACACACACACACACACAGACCCGACACACACACACATCCACACACACACTAAACCAGACAACACACACACACAAACCAGACACACAAACCATCACATTCACACACCACAACCAGACCACACACACCACACACACACACAACCATACACACACACACACCACCACACACACACACACAACCACACACACACACACAACAGACACACACACACACACACACAACCATACACACACACACAACCATACACACAACCATACACACACACATACACCCTACACACACAACCATACACACACACACACAACCATAAACACACACACAACCATACACACACACACAACCATACACACACACTACCATACACTCACACACACATACATACACACACACCATACACACACACACAACCATACACACAACCACAACACACATACACACACACATACACACACACAACCATACACACACACACAACCAACCATACACACACACACACACAACCCTACACACACAACCATACACACACATAACCATACACACACAACCATACACACACACACAACCATACACTCACACACATACACACACACATAACCATACACACACCATACACACACACACAACCATACACACACAACCATACACACACAACAATATACTCACACACACATACACACACCGCATACCACACACCATCCACAACCATACACACACAACCATACACACAACCATACACACACACAACCACACACACACAACCACACAACCATACACACACAACCATACACACACACACAACCATACATACACACACACACACAACCATACACACACACACATACACTCACACACAACCATACACACACAACCACACACACACACACACAACCATACACACACAACCATACACACACATACATACACTCACACACACACAACCATACACACACAACCATACACACAAACACATACACAACCATACACACACACACACAAAACCATACACATAACCATACACACACACACAACCATACACAACCATACCACACACCACACACACACACACAACCACACACACACACAAACACACACAACCATACACACACACAACCACACACACACAACCATACACACACACACAACCATACACACACAACCACACACACACAACCACACCATACACACACACAACCAAATACACACACACACACCTGAGCTGTCAGATCTTCATGACAAAGACTTTTTACCCACAAATGCAGTTTCTGAAACTATTTTGGGATTTTCACTTCATCAGACAGACAGCTGCCAGAGGGGGAGAATGGGGGAGGAGAGAGAGAGGGGGGGGGTGTAACATTTTTGAACCTCTGTCAGTCACAAGATTCAGTCTTGATTTGAAAGGATGCTCGATCACAGTTCAGTTTCATTAAGAAAATTACAGACAGACAGGGGGGAGGAAAACATCTCTCTCTCTACCTCACTCTCTCTGTCTCGCCCATCACCCCCTCACCTCGTCCTCTGGGTGTCGGAGCAGATGGCCTCTGAGGGGCCCCACAAGGGTCTAAAGCAGAGAGGAGGCGGGCGAGCACATGAATAATCATATATAAGAAGTGTGTGTGTGTGTGTGTGTGCTGCCTCTTTCAATCTCTCTCAGCACTTTCAGACCCCTGTTGGCCGAGAAATAGCAAGGTCACCGGTTCAAATCCCCCCCACAGCTGCTTCATCTGCACTCAAACAGAATGAATAAGTACACACTACTCAAGTACTCAAGTACACATCCGATGTTCCTTTATTAGCATATAATGTATGTGAGACCTTTTGGGGGGTTTCCCCTCACTTCAAACCGTCCAAACTACCCCTTTAAATCCCTCTACCGGATGAAGGTCAGAGATACCGTAAATAAAGTAGTATTGATTGAAAGTGTTCAGTCAGTTTCTAAATCTGATACAACTATGTTATATTCTTAATAGTGCATAACATCTAGAGGTGTGTCATGAGTGAGGAAGGTGTGTCATTTTTCACACTTTGTTACGACCCTTAACATTAATGTAAAGGTCATGACCTTTCAGAGGCTGATTTCACATAAGTTTCACATTTTTGAGTCACTCAATTGTGTGTGTGTGTGTGTGTGTGTGTGTGTGTGTGTGTGTGTGTGTGTGTGTGTGTGTGTGTGTGTGTGTGTGTGTGTGTGTGTGTGTGTGTGTTTCAGTACGGAAGTGGCCTGTTTCCTGTGTTTTGTTGTTCAGGGAGTCCGAAGGTGTCAGACTGACTCCCACCCAATCAGCTGAGGGTCACATGGGAGCAGGTCAGCTGACTGCTCACACACACACACACACACACACACACACACACACACACACACACACACACACACACACACACACACATTTCTCATCACAGTTTGTGAGGAGGCCGCTCATCATCCAGATTTGATTTCTCCAAAGTTTCAAAGCCCAAGAAAGACCCTTAACATGAACTGTTTGCCTCAAAACACTCAGAACTACTATTTATACTTTACAAAGTATTCAATACCTTTTTAAAAAACGTTTTCATGTTGCGTAAAGTCAATGCTTTGCTGTGAACAAAGAAGGGTTTCACGATATTGGAGGTAATGACTCAGAATACCTTTGTTAGTCCCTCAGAAGGGAAATGTATTACAGCAGCAAAGAGCCAAAGACAGCTTAATGGTACCTACTGTAAGAAGCATGCATCATTTGTTTCATTCAAGATAAACACAAATTAAATTACATTTTTTTTTAAAACGTTTTTATTATTCACTGTAATTTCAATGCAGTGCAGCTTTCTTATTTTCTCTCTATCTGTTTCATTCTAATGATTATTTTCGTTTACTAAATATTGTGCTTCCTGCAACTTGAATATTGAGATTTCATAAAATACGGTCAATTGTGCATCCCGACTATATCATATTTTCAATATCTGTTGTTGCCACATTTCAGTTTCTTCGTCCGTGAATCTTTGATACTGCGCAGCTTGCTTTCATTTATGATGTTGGCGCAGTGTGCTAGAGCGTTGATCACCAGGTCAAGGGGCGTTCTGGGACATCAGTTCGAAACCCGCCTCGGCCGCCACTGCGTAATCACTGTAATAAATGTCTTAATGAATTACTATTATTCTTGTGGCCTCTCTGATCTCCGTCTCTTTCCTCAGATCCATGTTGGGTAACGGGGTGAAGCGTAAACTTGACGATGATGAGGACGTCCTGGAGGAAGAGCGGCGCCCCCCCTCCGGAGGCGTTGTGTTTCAGACCTCCTCCACCCGGCAGACTCTCCTCAACATGTCTCTGATGAAGCTGTACGGCCCGCGGCCCGCCGACCTCCGCCTGCAGCGCCGCGTGCTCATCAACAACGTCATCCAGCGCATCCACAGAGACTTCAGGCAGGAGGGGGGGGGCGTCGGGGCGCTCTTCTTCTCCTCTTCATCGACCGTGAGCGAGGACGAGAGCTTCCATCAGCCTCCATCTTCCTCCTCCTCCTCTTCCTCCTTCAGCATCCTCTCCTCCTCGATGTCCGGACTGCTGACGGACTCCTGCCTCACCCCCGCCTCGCTGCTGGAGGAGGATCTTCCCATGTTCTTCACTCTTCCTCCCTCCTCTTCCTCCTCCTCCTCTTCCTCCTCCCAGCACCTGCTCCTCTCCCCCAGGATGCCACCATCGCCCTCTCCGTCCCCCAAAGACAGCTTCTCCTCGGCCCTAGAGGAAATCGAGGAACTCTGTCCTTCCTCTTCCTCCTCCTCCTCCTCCTCCTCCTCAGAGTCGCCATCACCGCCTCCTGCTCAGGTTTTATTTGATGTTATCATGAAGGAGGAAGAGGCGGAGAGTAAACCTCCTCCTCTTCCTCCTTCTCTTCCTCCTCTTCCTCCCCTTCTTCCTCCTCCTCATCCTCCCTCCCAGTCCCACTCCTTCCTCACTGACTTCACCCTGGACGACGTCCTCTTCACAGACATTGACACGTCGATGTACGACCTCGGCCCCTCAGGAGCCCCTCCGTCCAAGATGGCCCCCATGGTGACGGCGGACGATCTGGTGCGTTCGATGTCGGGTTTCGGAGCGACGGGCGGTCAGAACCAGCCGTTCAAAATGGACCTGGCCGAGCTGGACCACATCATGGAGGTGCTGGTGGGCAGCTGAGCAGAACTTAGTGACGCTTTGTTCATTTTGTACAGTTTTCAAAGTAACAACGGGCTTCACTCTGGGTCGTCTGGAGGATCACAGCTGCTGCGGGAATTCACTGATGAATCACTCGAGCTGGATTTCACACGGAGAGAAATCCACTGGAGGTTTCAGGCAGGTGGTTGTATTAATGAAACTTAAACACAAGTTCAAAAGTAGTAACACACGGTATAAAGGCCTGGTCAATATTTGGTTTTAAAGCTCAGTGAAGTTAACGCTTGTTTGTGCAGAGCTACAGGTAGAAAGAAAAAGGTCTTCCAGCTCTTTTTGGTGCTTTGACCAAAACCAACAACCTCTAAATAAAACAAGGCTATCTTTCATAAGAGCCTTGTTTTACTTTAGCCTAAATGCTAGCACTTAGCAGCTACAAAAGCCACGGAGCTTCTGGTTCTCAGGGCTTTGAACTAGCTAGCTTGCTAACTGCATAACAAACATTTTAGCTAAACTGCTATCAGGCAGAACATCCTCACAGTTATTCCTCCTCGTAAATAGAGTGCGACAGTGACGCGTCCTAAACCCAGAAGTAAGTTAGCATTTTACCACTTCCGGTTCCTTCCACAAAAAGCAATGCGATGTCTCCATAGGATTTAGGAAGATAGCTGGAAATAAGGTCTGTGGCTGAGACACATTTAAGAGCCGGATCACGTTTTGTTCAGCCGGATAATCTCCAGATGTCTACCCTACTTTTATAATTCTTGAATCATAAATCTAATCGATAGATTCATGATTTGAAGATTATAAAAGTAGGGTAGACATGTGGAGATTATCAGAAATTGCATTGGTTTTTGTCGAAGGAACCGGAAAGAGTTTACTTCCGGGTTTTAGGACTGCGTCACTGCGGCACTCTCCTAAACTTTGTATATCCTGAAAGAGGACGTTTAATTAACTGGATAAAGGGAAATAGCTTATAAGCTACGATAGCATCCTCCTTCTTGCCAAGACAGCTTGCTATTTGTCAATGGTGCAAATAATAATGTCCAAATGGAGTTTAATTTGGTGTGGATTTACTGATTTTCCTGCAGATTGTGAAGCTCTGATTGACCAGGCCTTTAATGTGTGACGCAGATGAGACCAACCATGTGTATACAAACACACACAGCAGCGTTAATCCCTGAGCTCCACACTGAGGACCCGCCGTGTGAATGACTCCCTCTCAGAGACACAATGAGCTCGGAGTTTGTCTTCCAGCTCCGATAACTCCGATAACTCCGGCCTGAAGTCCCGTTTCCTACCGCTGTCCGAGAAATTGTAAAGATCAAAAAGAGACTTTTTTTCTACCGCCGGTGCATGTTTCCACAAATATGAGATGAAGACGGAAATCTCAATAGCATTTATAAAAAAAAAACAATCCAGTGCCTTTTTCTAAAACCTCGATCACGCCGTCACGTCTTGCTGTCGCTCGTCACGAAGCAATACCTGTTCTTAATTACCCACAATGCATCATGTTATACCTTTTGAAGAGGATCCCGCCTGCAGAGATACTTCGGTCCAGAACGAGTGTGAGAGCATCTCGACGTGTGTGAATGTTGATCTATTTCTATTGTTGTTTTTCAAACGGAAAAATAACGTCTGATGTTTTTATGTATTTTCCCACAAATCCAAGGAAAAAAAGCACATTTTATTTATTTGTGTTTTTATTGGATTTGAAAACAGGAAACATATATAACAGCAGCAGACTGACGTTTCTAGTTTTCATTTTCTTTAGCCGGTTTGTTGCTCATAATGACCAACTTACTTCCTGCCTACGACTTTGTGTCTGAACAGTTATCACTGCTGTTGTTGTTGTTGTTGTTGTTGTTGTTAGTCTGTCACAGTTTCTGGTTCAAAAACAACCTTTACTTTTGGAAACACAAAGAGTAAAGCATCTTATTGGTTGAGTTCAAACCTGAGCTAAACTAGGAAGTGTAAATTAGCTGAAAATCAAGGAACTCAATTATAAATATTATTTAAAAAGAAAGGTAATCATTTCATCTTACTTGACAAAACAAAAAGTTTCCCCAGGTTTTTTCACTTAAATTCTTGACTTTAATCCAGGGGTGTCAAACTCAATTTCATCGCGGGCCACATTCGCATAAAGGTTGCACTCAAAGGGCCGGTTGTAACTATATATAATATATATATAAAATAATGTATTATATTACATGATTGCCTCTGAATTGGATTATTATCGGATAGGATAATAACTTAGTAATTAACTACGTCTGAAAGCAGAAGTCCAGGGCAAATAATTGCAAGTCTCTTCAGGGCATGTCACAAAACAAGATGCATTGTGGGACATGTAGTTTATGGGCAACCTGCTTCTGTAAAGTGGCGTGTAGCCGTATAATAAACGTATTATATTCTTTGCAAGCTCTTGCGGGGCCACAGTAAATGAAGTCGCAGGCCGGATTTGGCCCCCGGGCCTTGAGTTTGACACCCCAGCTTTAATCTAAGAGAATTAGCAGGAAGAAAAAGATAAATAACCATCGAGACACTTTCCCTCCTAATACATGTATAATGTATTTTTTCATTACACTTGACAGACATTGGATGTTTGTAAGCGCTCACTTTAAACTCAACCAATGACATTGTATCTTTCTAAAAATAAAAGAGCTACATTTCAACCTGGAGTTAATAAAACTCACATTTGGAAAAAATAGAAAGTATGTTGTTGATGGTTTGTAGTAAAATGGTGACGCAGTTTCACACGCAGACGTTCCCTTTACCAGAAATAACTCTATGAATTATTTATTACCCCGCGGCTCCGTGTGTATTTATTGTATCTCTGGACACTAATATTTGGTTTGTACAGAAACATAAATATGTATTCTTTGTAAAGGATTTCTCCACCAAGGCTGCCCTCTCAGTTCAGGCTTAACTCGGAGGTCCTTTTGGGTGGAAGTCTATGAAATACTCCGTCATTTAATAAATGATCGGAGTTTTTTTTTTTTTTTAATACTATGTAATATATGATTTCAGCAATGCATACGCGCTCAATTCAACCTATGCCACTGTGTGTGTGTCTGTGTGTGTGTGTGTGTGTGTGTGTGTGTGTGTGTGTGTGTGTGTGTGTGTGTGTGTGTGTGTGTGTGTGTGTGTGTGTGTGTGTGTGTGTGTGTGTATAAACAGTGGGCCAGTTTCAAATGAGTAAATCTGAATAGAAACTTAAAATATTAGTGTTTTTTTTTATGTTTCAACCGGGATTAAACTTGCTGATGTGTGCCTAGATCTAAATATCTGTGGCCCAATACATTTTAAATGTTAAGTTATTGCAATGCTTTAAAATCAATGTTGCTAACCATTGATATATGAAACAAATCCCCCTTGCATGTTGTGTGTTTTACACCAAAAATGGCATTATGTAAACAAACTGGCATTTAAATAATCTTAACCTTTATAAATATCTGGTATTTATGTTAAAAATCTATCTGAGCTGAAGCTGGTAAAGAGATCTAACTCAGTAAACGTGTAAAATAACATTAAAATGTGATTGAATTGAATGGCAGTTAAACGCAGTATTAAAGCTGAACTGTGTCGCCCCCTGCTGGACAGATGCGGTAACAGCTGGGAGTTACACCAGTGAGTAGTACTGCATGTGTCCTTATGTGAAAAAATAACATTTAATTCAACATCCAATATGTTTTTTAAGATTCAATACCTTTTCTTTTGTATTGCTAAGATCTTCCTGGAGTTGTTCCTCCACTATTCACACTGTATTTATTTATTTTTACAGCTTCAAATCACTTTTAACACATTTCCAGTGTAAGCATCCACCTGTTGTTGATCAGTATTTAAAACTTAAGAGACAGGGATCTAAATTAGAGATATCAATTAATAAAATATTTACATTACACACTGTTTTTTATGAAGAATAAGTTAAATGGTGCTGTGTGTTTTTTAAACTCTTCTTCTTGTTCTTTGGTTCTAAATTTGAACATTTTTACTATAAAAATGAACAAAAGTCTGAAGAATGTGACTTCCCAAACCCTTATTTCATTTAGATTTAATCGATTTAATCATTTTTAAACTGGCTCCATGTTGTTTATCCTGACTCTTCTGTCTGTTTCCATCCAGAGAATGAAAGATTGGTTGTTCAAACCAAATGTTTGTATTATTATGTTGTTGTTGTTGTTTGTAGCAGCTCTGTGGCTCTGCAGGTTTGTACTGGACATTAAAGGGAGGGATGAAGTGATTCTGTACATCGGTGCCTTCTCCTATGCAATACATCATGTTTCCTTCTGACGGCGATTATTATTATTATTATTATTTGAATGTGATGAGGATTCAGCTCTGAGGGGGGGGGGGCACTTTAGTAATTTTATTTTATACATTAAATGAATATGATCTCATCTTTGTCTTCCTGTCTTTTATTTTTAACAGATTTTATCTCGATTGATTACATTTTTTTAATTTGAGAGGATATGTGAGAGAGGAACTGTTTGATTTAAACTAATAAATAACTTAGGCATTTAATTTGATTTAATAAAAACAAATGTAAATGATGTATTAGAAAAAAAGAAAATAAACATGTTATTGATATTACCTCATTTTAGTAATAGTATAGCATTCTTAATTATTCAGTCTCTAAATGTTAAATAACTTGTACAAATAAATAAATTGGCTACGCTAGTTAATAGTGTAATTAAATAAAAATAGGTTACATTTAAAGACTAAATTAATTTGTACATTTTATATTTCTATCATTATTATTTTACAGTGAATTTAATGCATTTCTTCAAACATAATGCAAATGTTTTTGGCATTTTTCTTTACAGGTTAATTTAATTTATAAACAATGTAATGTCTATTTATTTGTTAGCACAAGTTAGCCTCTATTAAAGGTAGGGTAGGTAAGAAAGGAGAAACCTGGGGCCTGTACTACGAAGCTGGTTCAACCTAACCTGGATATGTTTGAGTTAGCCGGTTGGCCTAATCCAAAACATACGCGCTCTCGCTAAACTGTACTACGACGCTGGTTATCAAGTGGATCGCTCAAGCCAGCCGTGTCCTATCTAGTTAGGTGCGCGTTCACATGAAAGGGGTGGTATCTGGAGCATTCGACCAATCACAAACATGGAGAAGCGTACTGCCAGCGCAGCGTCATACTTCCTGAATGAAAAGTGAACTTTAATATTAGACATATGAAGAAGTTAAACTTTAAACATCCATTACTTAAACACTTTATCCAGGATCAAAGCCACATAGCTGGTAACAGTGTTTGAATGCGTACATTAACAGGTTTATGATATCACTGCCCCGTCTAACACACGAGTGGATCTGACTTTAATTAGCCTACATTTAACTCGAGTGTTTCGTCAACTTAATGTGTTGCTTAAAATAATACTTCTGCATACAGTATGTGACACTGAGTGTTGCACGGCTCAGCTGACTCAGATAAGGAGATATATGATATGGCCTACATTATGATGTGATGTGATATGAATGATAAATGGGACACATCGACGTCTGCACTCACTCGAATGCTCCAGATACCACCCATTTTATGTGAACGCGCACCTAACTAGATAGGACACGGATGGCTTGAGCGAATGAGTTGATAGCCAGCGTCGTAGGACAGTTTAGCGAGAGCGCGTATGTTTTGGATTAAGTCAACCGGATAACTGAAAACATATCCAGGATATGTTTAACTAGATTCGTAGTATAGCCTACCCCCCAGGTTAGCCGCACAGCATAAGTTACCATGGAGATCTAGCCTGCTAAAAAGAGAAACAGCTTCGTAGGACCGGAAACCCCGAGTTTTCCCTGAAGTTAGCTGGCTAAACGAAAATCCTGCTTCGTAGTATACCCCCCAGCTCGAGTGCGCTCGAATTTGAAAGTACGCCGCCGAAAAAAATCCGCCCCTTCCTTCAGACTTCCTGAGCCCCTCCTCCAACACACACGAACACACACATGACCGATGAGGGCACGAGATCAGTTTGTGCCCAGATGGAAGGCTGACAGGCAGGTAGGCCATCCAGTTATTTTAGCCGGGCCGGCTCAGATGATTGGTCGTGCTTTTTACAGCGCCACGGCTTCCACAGATGACATGTTTGTATGTATTTATTGTCAAAGCATTTAAGATATTCATTGCCATCGGGATGTTAAGAGCATTCCATGGAATATAACAAAGTGTTTCTGAAGTGAACACCCGACCCTTTAACATTTTGGCCAGAATTGATACATATTTTCCTGCATGTCTGAGAGAACTCCTTAAATAAAACAAGACTTGGTTGATGAAAGTGTTCATGTCCGAAAGAAACAGAAGCGAGCGGAGAAGATAACTATTTTAATTTCTTGTGTACACTAAAAGTAAAATTTACACACTTATAGTCTCAAAAGAACCCGGGCATGCACGAAAACCGTTTGACAGGCTCTTCAAGTGATTCAGTCTTTTTCCATAGGAATTTTCCCGTAACATTTGACAGTCCATAGTTTAACTGTACACAGTCTAAAGCCACAGTGAACTATGATTACATCCATTTCATCTTTACAATGTGCAAAATCCTCCTGGGAGACGGGCTGACAGTAGTATGAGCAAAACAACAACAAAACATGAGCGGCAACAACAAAAAGCACTTCATATTAGGAACAGAACAAAACCCGACACGAGGAAGCAGACTTTGGTCCCTTAATTCCCTTCTGATTCGAGTCGACCTTCACTGACGAGAAACCTTAAGTTAAAGTGGTTTTAACCCAAAAAAAGTCCTGTTTTAACCCCCCCCCCCCCCAAAACAACAAATGAGGAACAGTGAGTGCGGACTCAAACAAGGAAGGAAACTTGTTTTATATCCAAATGCTGGAATGTGTAGAAAAATTAAACATGGAATAAAAATGAAAAGACACACCAGCGTTTAGTCGGCTCCCAAAGCAAATATAAACAGTCGTCCTTCAGTTCTAGAAACGGGGGATAGACTGGAAAAAGTAAATGCGGTGTGAAATAATTTACGTTAAAAAGCTGTTCAATTACAAACAGAAAGAAAGACACGGATCGGGTTAAAGAAACGTTAAAATCTACGGGTAAAAACTAAGGCCTTTAAACACAAGACGATCAGCTGGATTCTGCAGGCAGTGTGGTTTCAAGTCGATAAATATATATATAGATTTTATATATATGTTTATAAATGTATTAATTTAAACATATATACCACTTCACTTTGATTCGGCCAGTGTTTCCTTCAGACACTCAAAATCATCCAGAAATCATTCAGAATAAAAAACAAAAGAAAGGAAATTAAACATTGAATCCCTGATTATATACATGACGATTCTTCTAGAACACTTCTACACCTTCCTCTATAAATTAGCAACTCTATAAATTAATTAATCTCCTATTCTGTGCAGGTCGTCGTCTGAGCGCTCCCCCCCCGTTTCCTGTGATCATAAAAGAAAAGCGCAACTTAATAAAAATAAAAAAGTATGAAAGGGAAGAACTGAGCCGCGGCAAAAGAAGAAGACAACGAGAACTGGTTAAAATGGGCCGAGTCAGGAGGCGGGGCTTAGGTGTTGGTTGATGATGTCAGTTGAGGGGGGCGGGGCTTTAGTCTGTGGTTGCCTGGCAGCCGAGCGGCGTCAGCGTGGCGGGAAACATCAAAACTTTGGCCTGCATGAAGGAGAGGTCGGGCAGAAGGGAGATCACTTTGGACGCCTCGTCGCTCAGATTCTCCTCCTTCCTCGGCTTCCTGTCACACACACACACACACACACACGTTACCACACACACTTGAATACACACCTGAGCAGAAAGAGCGGTGCAGTGATGAAGGATACATCATATATAACAATAAAAACTGTTAGATTTAGCTGAAAAGCTAATGTTGGGCTATAAAGGAAATACAGCACGGTCACATGACTTCACACCACCACCGCTAAGCTAGCGGCAGCTAATGTTGGGCGTGACGACGTTAAGTCGTCTCATTTAGATAAATGTTAGCAGCTAAGGTTTTTTTGTATTCACGAGTGGGGTATTTACCGAGTAGATTATGTTGTAGAATAAAACGGGGAAATCTCTCCCACTTGTATTAACCAGAGAACCTTTTTCCGGCCTCTAACCATAAACACTCAGTCACATGACCCCTCCTCCTCTCCTCTCTGACCTGGTGGAGGTGCTGGTCTTCTCCATGGTGGACATCAGGCGGGCGAAGGCGTCGGCGACTCGACTCCCCGGGCCACTCGAGTCCAGCTTCGCCGTCGTCAGCTCGTACAGCTCCGGGATCCACGCCTACTGGGAGGACGAGACGACGAAGAGTCAAAGCAAAAGTTTTCTCTTGTCATTCAAGGTTGTTTTCATTCGTAGTTTTTATGAAGATTCACAGGAAGTGAGCAAAACTCTTTCTGTAACGTTTAGTTAAAAAGGAGAATTGAAAAAAAGCAGACAGTTAACTTCTCACTTTGAGAAAAACTCACTTTTCTTGCATTATTGTGTCACTATTTTATTTATTTTATGTGTGAAGTATTGTGTCTCTTCTTAAAGAAGCAGCAGGTGGCGCAAAGTGACACTCCTTCCCACTTTGAATAAAACAAAGTATTTTTCTTATTTTCCTGTATGTCAAAAACATTAACATGTTTGTTTTATATACTTTTTGTTTTTTAAATGTACACGTCATGGAGTTTTTTTGGTACACATATACTTCAAATACTGTAGTTTTTTATTGTTCCTATTTTTCGTACTTATTTTTGTTATCTCCTCTGTTTATCGTTATGGAGATAACCCCTAACCCAAATACAAAGTATAATTTGTGGATGTGAAAAAGTACTTCTTACTAAGTCAACTCTTGATCTGACTCCACATGATAAACACTTATTATGATACTCATGAAACCTTCCGATTTACGCTAAATTCTACCAGAGGCGAGCAGCAGAAAGCGGAGATGTGTGGTTCATATCAAGAAGAGGAGGAGGAAGAAGAAGAGGAGGAAGAAGAAGAGGAGGAGGAAGAAGAAGAAGAAGAAGAGGAGGAGGAGGAGGAAGAGGAGGAGGAAGAGGAGGAGGAAGAAGAAGAGGAGGAGGAGGAGGAAGAGGAGGAGGAGGAAGAAGAGGAGGAGGAGGAAGAGGAAGAAGAAGAGGAGGCAGGGATCAGCTGCTGACCTGGGATGGAGGGAGAGCTGCTGGAGCCTGAATCCTCCACAGGACCAAAGAAATCCAGATTTAACAGAGAAGAGCCTCCGCTGGCTGCACAGGGTCACACACACACACACACACACACACACACACACACACACACACACACACACACACACACACACACACACACACACACACACACACACACACACACACACACACACACACACACACACACACACACACACACACACACACACACACACACACACACACACACACACACACACACACACACACACACACACACACACACACACACACACACACACACACACACACACACACACACACACACACACACACACACACACACACACACACACACACACACACACACAGAGAGAGAAGAAGAAACCAGAAACGTGCAGCAGTGTCAGAAGAGTAGAGTCAGCTCTATGTTAGACGTGTCTTCATGCAGAGCGGCCATGTTGTTTTATCAAGAGGGTTAACGGGAAAGATCCACCTTCACTCACTGCGGATAAATACTTAATTATGTCCGTATTTAGTTGTTATTCAACATTAGAAAGTATAATTAGGAAACACTTCCTAAGCAGCTCTCTATGTGTGTGTCCAAGGTCAAATAACACAGGTACCTGGCATTATTTGAATGATTGATCATTTGTTCAACTAAACTTAAAAGGCTTAAAAAACTGTCAAAACGCCCAAAGAACGTCTCCTGCCACAGTCGCCCTCCAAAGGGTCTGACTTCCTGTCCCTGCCTCTTCTTAGGTTCACCATTTGTTTCCCCAGCAGTGTTGTAATGTTTGTGGATCGTTTCCTAATGAAGAACGTTTTATGCATCTACAACGTGTTACATATCTGACATGTCCATGCTGAGTCAGGGTGTGAGAAAAGACTGAGTTAGAAAGGTTTGAGAAAGACAGACGAGAGCCAGAAGCGAGGAGTGGGAGGGGTTCAGTGTGAGGGTCGGGGGTCACCTACCATCCAGAGGGTTGGTAAGGCCACTGCTGCTCCAGTCAAACTGGACGGGGGGGAGCGCCTCCTGCTGGAGAGGAGAGAGGAGGTCAGGTTATACATCAAGTGCTCTGTGCGTATCGAAGCCTGAAATTGACATAAAACAAAAACTCACATGCAGAAAAAAATGAACACATGGATTTTCCCTGAGCCGAAAATCCATATCCATTAACTCTGCTGCTATTTGATACACACTTAAAATACATCAATACATACACAGATTTTGGGTCTGCATGAACAAAACAAGTCTAATACAGCATTTTATAAATCAGCGTGCAGACCCTCAGGTGTCAGTAAATCTAATATCCTATGAGTGTGTCTCCGTGTCTCCGTCTCACCGGGGCTGAGTCTGCGGGACACGAGGTTTTTGTCTCTGGAGCCGGAGGAGGGGTCTGGGCTATCGAGGTGATCATCTCCGCTGCAGAGACGGGCTTCACGGGCTCTTTGGTGGGTTCCAGCATCCCCTGCACACACACACACACACACAGTTATTATCATTACTACAGGTCAGTTTTCGAAAGCTTGTTCATGTCTCCTGTGAATATGCTCATACATCTTTTTTTAGAAAGTGAGACATGCATGAAACAGTCTGAAATCAGAGGTGCAGCAACACTGGTGCTATGAGAGGTTACTGTCCTTCCTAACTCATTTTATAAATACTATTGGAAACACACCCAGGAGGAGTTTGATGTCCGTCTTTAAGGAATATAACTCATCTCTATACGTCCCTCCCTTTACTTGCAGCGAGTGTCCTTTTTGAAAGGCTAAAGCCTCAAGGAAACATCAGATTGTTGCTTTTGTGAAGTCCAAAACCAGAAGATGAGTTATCAAGACTGATGTTGATAATGTTTTCACCCAGATATCAGATGCACAGTCTCATCCTTGTTGGACTATAAATATGAGACGGTTCCCAGCCAAATGAATATAATGGTGACGCTGAGAAGCCCCCGTTTGTGGCTACATGATTATCAGTAAACACATGAACTGTATGTGTATGTGTGTGTGTGTGTGTGTGTGTGTGTGTGTGTGTGTGTGTGTGTTGTGTGTGTGTGGTGTGTGTGTGTGTGTGTGTGTGTGTGTGTGTGTGTGTGTGTGTGTGTGTGAAGGTGCAGGACTCACCAGGCTGGCGGCGTACATGGGCACGATGACCGGCTGCTTCTTCTGTCCCGTGAACAGCTGCACAGTGAAGCAGCAGGTCAGAAACAACTCTAGATATCACACACAATCCTGCTGAGGAGTTCATGTAAACACAATGTCTCTGAGGGGAAGGTTTACTTTCATGTTGCAGAGCCTAATGGCTGCATGAAGAGGTCAATAGAGGGTACAGATCACTTTAAGTGTCATCAAATGTCAGAAAGTCATTTGGGGACAACATAGCTCCTATTACATCCTACATGACACACATTGAGGACATTTTGTGCATGCAGCTGCAGTGATTTTACATTTCTTTCCAGCTGAACTAATTAGGTGTTAGGCCACTGAGAGGCCACTGAGGGTCCAGCAGAGACTTACAATATTGCGGGTGTCGATGCCCAGGCAGCAGAGTAGTGCTTTGTTGCAGTAGGAGCCCCCCCACTGGTATCTGAGGCCGAACGACTCGTGGATGTCCTGAAGCTGCGACCACACGCCGCCTTGAACTGACCTGAAACACACACAGAGACAGAGAGAGTCAAACACACAGTCACACACACACACAGAGAGACAGAGAGTCCCACACAGAGAGACAGAGAGTCAAACACACAGAGAGACAGAGAGTCAAACACACAGAGAGACAGAGAGTCCCACACAGAGAGACAGAGAGTCAAACACACAGAGAGACAGAGAGTCAAACACACAGAGAGACAGAGAGTCAAACACACAGAGAGACAGAGAGTCCCACACAGAGAGACAGAGAGTCAAACACACAGAGAGACAGAGAGTCAAACACACAGAGAGACAGAGAGTCAAACACACAGAGAGACAGAGAGTCAAACACACAGAGAGACAGAGAGTCAAACACACAGAGAGTCACACACACAGAGAGACAGAGAGTCAAACACACAGAGAGACAGAGAGTCACACACACAGAGAGACAGAGAGACACACACACAGAGAGACAGAGAGTCAAACACACAGAGAGACAGAGAGTCACACACACAGAGAGACAGAGAGACACACACACAGAGAGACAGAGAGTCAAACACACAGAGAGACAGAGAGTCACACACACAGAGAGACAGAGAGACACACACACAGAGAGACACACAGAGAGTCACACACACACAGAGAGTCACACACACAGAGAGTCACACACACAGAGAGACAGAGTCAAACACACAGAGAGAGACAGAGAGTCACACACACAGAGAGACAGAGTCAAACACACAGAGAGAGACAGAGAGTCACACACACAGAGAGACAGAGAGTCTCACACACACAGAGAGACAGAGAGTCACACACACAGAGAGACAGAGAGTCACACACACAGAGAGACAGAGAGTCACACACACAGAGAGACAGAGAGTCACACACAGAGAGACAGTGAGACACACACACACACACACACACACACAGAGAGAGACACACACAGAGAGACAGAGAGTCACACACACAGAGAGACAGAGAGACACACACACAGAGAGACAGTGAGACACACACAGAGACACACACACACACACAGAGAGTCACACACACAGAGAGACAGAGAGTCACACACACAGAGAGACAGTGAGACACACACAGAGACACACACACACACAGAGAGAGTCACACACACAGAGAGACAGAGAGTCACACACACAGAGAGACAGAGAGTCAAACACACAGAGAGACAGAGAGTCAAACACACAGAGAGACAGAGAGTCAAACACACAGAGAGACAGAGAGTCAAACACACAGAGAGACAGAGAGTCACACACACAGAGAGACAGAGAGTCACACACAGAGAGACAGTGAGACACACACACACACACACACACACACACACACAGAGAGACACACACACAGAGAGACAGAGAGTCACACACACAGAGAGACAGAGAGACACACACACAGAGAGACACACACACAGAGAGACAGAGAGACACACACAGAGACACACACACACACACACAGAGAGACAGAGAGTCACACACACACACACAGAGAGACACACACACACAGAGAGACACACACACAGAGAGTCACACACACAGAGACAGAGAGTCACACACACACACACAGAGACAGAGAGTCAAACACACAGAGAGAAAGAGACACACACAGAGAGACAGAGAGTCACACACACACACACACACACACACACACACACACACACACACACACACACACACACACACACACACACAGAGAGAGTCACACACACACACAGAGACAGAGAGTCACACACACACACACAGAGAGAGAGTAGGGCTGTCCTGAATACCATTTTTCGGGCTCCGGATATTCAGTAGTAATCAGCAGCGAAGCGCTTCGACACGTGTATTTCGGTTTATTCACGGCATTATTTTTGTTCTTCTACAGTATTGTTGTTTTATAGATATTAACCCAATTTGTGTTCTTTGAAATTGAAAAGGATATCGCATTTCGTTTGTTACTTTCGTTGCAGTTGTATATGTCTTAAGTGTAATTTGGCTTGGCTTTCTATTTTGTATGGACATGCTTTTATTTTGAAGGAGAGTTAGCGCAGTTGACAGGAAGTTGTTGTTGCTATGGAAACAACGTGACGGAGATTTACGGAGAAAAGTAACATCTACATATAAAGACGGAGAAAGTAAACGATAACGTTTATGGTTAACTGTTAGCACCCCCGAACAAGCTCTTACGTTGATATTGGAGATTTCAATAAATAAAAATAAATAAATAAAAAAACGAAATCTGAATAACGAAATTGAAACCCGAATAGTACTCCAACAAACTAATATTCGGATATTCGGGTACAGCCCTAAGAGAGAGACAGAGAGTCACACACCAGGGAGGGATGGGCTTTAAAATACTAAGATACTTAATATTCATTCAGCAGAGAACAAACGCAGGAGAGAGGGAGATTGATGAAATCACAAAATAAGGTTTTCTGGTATTGTGTTAACATAAATGTATATTATGGTGATGTCAGACTGTTGCTGGACTGCCCTGTTAATACATGTGTGTCTCACTTTGAAAAGGGCAAGCAGGAGAGCAGAGGACATTTTGTTTTCGAAAAAATGGATTAAAGAAAATAATTTTGTAAGAACATGTGGATTATAGAAATGATTGCATTTTATCTCTAAACAGTTCATTCGATTCACGAAATGAATGCAAAAAAAAAGCAGCTTTTTAAAAAGCGACTATTCTCCAAGCTTTAGAGCACTTCCTGTTCCAGTGTATGTTTGAGGTCCCTCTGAGGAGGCTCACCGGCTGCAGGGCGACCTCTTCTCCTTCTCCTCGCCTCCTGGCTGATGGTTCTCCTCCGGTTCCAGAAGATTCTTCAGAGACATCACCTGGTCCTCCACCGGGGGAGCGGCCGCCTGAGGGAAGCTGCCCTGAAACAGCTTCTCCAGCCGGATGCACAGCTGCAGAGAGACAGCAGTCGGTTACAGACATCCTACGGAGCACTTGTATCTGCTATCTGAGGACTTCAGGAAACCACTAACGGCCCGTCCACACAGCGGCTTTGGAAAAAGCTTGCCGGCGGGCATGTCTGAAGCTCGACCAACAACCAATCACATGAATCTCCCGCCCCTGACACACAAGCAGCGGTTTGATTGGCTAGAGCTTGTACTGGCATATGATTTGATTGGCTGACGCTTCCACCGAAAGCTTCAGAAGCTTCAAAAGTTGAACATTGCTCAACTTTTGCAGCCTGAAACGCCAGGAAAGCTCCGCTCTGCTTCCCACAATGCAGTTCGGCGAAAAGTGACGTCACCCCATTCAAAGTGAATGGGCAGAAGCTTCCAACGCCGCTGTGTGGACGGGCCGTAAGAGTTGAACACCTGCAGCTTTACTCAAAAAGCTTCTGTAAAGTTCCTCCTGGACTAAAAAGCTGCAGCTCAGAAGTGATGCCGGGAGTTCTTCCTTCCATCGTGCATCAAATCATGGGGCAAGCATGCAAAGGTTAGTGTGATCCGTTCTGCTAATATCAGAAGCATTTCTTGAAGGAGAGCTGATCATTTAAAACTGCTTAATGGATCCAAGCAAGAGAAACGAAAAGCAAATACGTTCGATGTTTTGTCGCAAACCCTTACCTGCAACATCTGGCCACCTGACACAGATGTGCAAAAGACTACAAGCCGTTTTAAAGATAGACTGTGTTAGTGGTACAAATATATGTGTGGATGCGTTGACTTCTAATGTATCACATCTGTGTACCTCCAGTACTTCTCAGCTTGTGTTAGTGTGAGGCAGCGCTGAGAGAAAACAAGTGGAAGAGCTTCACGGTACAGACGGTGTGACGCGTGATAGGTTGCTTAACACTGATTTCCATGAAGGCTCTAGCTCACAGCCATTTCAAAGATAGATTTTAAACATTAATAAATTGACCAGAGAGTCTTTGACAAGTTTGCCATACTTAAATTAAAAAAAAGGAGTGATCAAATTTGTTCTCTCTCACAAAATGTGTCTCCACCCGTACAGTAAACCACGACAGGAGTGTTGGTGGATTTCTACCATCATGTCACAGGACTAGGGATGCATATCGTTGACTTTTTGACGATACCGATACCACTGAACGATACCGATACTCAACCGATACATATCGTGATACTTTGAAAATGTATCATCCCACAATTACTCCCATGAAGCGTTTTACGATATAGTTAACATGTCAAATGAATATTAAATTCGATTGTGGGACTTCTTGGACCTTTTAGTGCTGAACAAACAATGAAAGATACATAACAAATATGAAGAAAACCGATTATGGAATATCTTTTATAACACCCGCCATCAGGTGTGCCGCGTGAATAGCACATCTTGTCAATGCAAACAGACACCGTTATAATTAATGTTAAACCTGAGATTCGACTAGAGAACAAATACATAATAGAATAAAGGTCATGAGATCTCGGCATTGCACAAACAAACAAATCTCATCTTTAAAATCAACATGCCTTCACTGGTGAGAGAAAACAAATCCCATCACAGTCCATTTGTGGGACTTTTACCTTTCTAGTATTGAACAATGAAAAATACATAAAATATGAAGAAAAACGATTATGCAATCTAATTTATAACACCCGCCATCACGGGCCACGGACTCACTTTTCAAAATAATTTAAAAACTTTTTTTTTTTTTTTTTTTTTAAAGTATCGAAACCGGAACTGATTTCGGTACGGTATACCGTAGCCACCAGTAACCGGTATTTCGGTAATACCGGATACCGGTATGCATCCCTATGTCACACCAGTTTTAAAAAGTTACTGAACTCAAACCCTTGATGAATTATCTTAATAATCTTTCACCAAGTTAATGAAGATGGGCAGTCACCTTTCAAATGCTTAGTGCTTTAGGACTTTGAAGGTGTTTACAACAAAAGTCCCATCCCCACAGCAACATAGGGCTGCTCGATTATGGCAAAAATCATAATCTGGATTATTTGGGTCAATAATTGATATCACGATTATTAAAAACGATTATCCATTTACTTTGAAAACATCAATTTATTGGAGAAAGAAATGTGAACAGCACGTTTTTAACAGTTGATTACCTGAACTTTAAGTAGAATTCAACGGAAAAACCAAAAAAATAATTAATTAATAAAATAAAAAAAATGTTTTCGTAATCGTTGTAAGCCATAATCGTAATTGCGATTAAAATACGATAATTGAGCTGCCCTACAGCAACATATGAAATGTAGGCTGCTGCACCCTGTCCAATAATCTGGTTCTCCCTGACAGTTGCAGCTGGGTGTGCTGCTCACCACACCCAGCTGAGAAGATGGCTGTCACTGAAGAAAGTGACAGTTCACATGCACAACATATTACTACTTTATTAGAATCAATACTCCATCCAAGCTGTTTGCATGTCTGGTCAAAATAACCTAATATCCTATTGACATGCAGCCGTGCATACTCAAATTGACAAACATCACAAGACGAGGGTTTCTTTGTTCCGAGCATATCCAAAAAGCAGTTTAAGTCTTCACCAGAAGGGGGTGTGTTCCATATCTTTCCTATTTGAGGCAGGCACCTCTATTTCAATGGAGTAGATTGACAGAGCTGAATGTAAACGGATAAGGGGCAGTGAGTGGCTCCTCAAATACATTTCATTTATTTAAACGGATAAAGTTCCAAAACATTCCTGATTAAACTTTTGCGTTTCGGAGGGGTCCCAACACTGGATGGGTTGTCGCGGGGAAGAGGTGCTGCCGTACAGACATTTATTATTGACGTGTGTGTTAGCTGACTGGTTTTCTATTTATTTATTTTGTGTTTGTCTTCCGTCTGTGTGGGATTTAGTTGCCCTGGTGTTAAGCAGTATTTACATTGTTACTCTACCTATTGTTCTATAAAGTGAAGAATTGTTGACCTACTTCTGATGCATGCTCTGATAGAATAACTGTATGCTGTTGGAGAAACCCAATAAACATGATCAAAGCCTCTGCATATGGCACTTTTTAAATTGGAATATGGCACACTCCTCCCCCTCACACTGAATCCAGAGCAGACACTTTAACACTTGTGTCACACTGGTTATTCTGGCTGCTAACACTGCATGATGATGAAGGAGATCCAGCGTCACTGATGCAAGCTGCAGACTTCACTACCAGTGTGTGTGATAATGCAGTTCACCTCAAATACCGGAGCAGGTCCCATTGCCACTCTGTATTAACAGTGTGTGTGAGTGTGTGTACCTATATAACTGCACTGTCCACACCTCTCCTCTGAAAGCATAGGATGGTTTTCCCTGTGAGCAAACTGTATTCTCTTCGTCCTTCAGGAGCCGACCTCTGTCACTAACTGTTCGAATACAAACAGTGGGAGATGCTGTAAGGGTGCTGCTGACTCAGCTGGATATTGACAAACGATACACTGATTGAAATGTGATCCTTCAGGACGACTTCCTCTTTTTAGTTTGCGTACAGCAGAGATTTCAGTTAGATATTAGTGTCAATTATGGATTTCAAAGTATGTTTGGAATTTAAAAAACATGTTTCTTTCACACATGTTTTCTCCTTTTTGCTGGATGGACCTCCTCATCTCAGAACAGGGGAAGTTATTACAGTGTGTTGAGGAAAAGTAGCTTGATTAAATAATAATCAAAATCCTTTTTATTGCTTATTTTGTATTTATTTCATATTAAAGAGTTATTTCTTGTATTACTCAAAATGCATGTATGTCTGGTTTGACGTGTAATCGTTTAGATATCCGTCTCAAAGATGTCTACCTCCGTTTTCATTTTTGTCGATACCTCGTTGTGAAGTAATGTCTGGAGTATCCAACTTTATGGGGACGCTGTTTCTAGAAGGATTTTGTGGCTTTCAATGAACACAGCAAAAAAGGGTTTGCAGATGTATAGCGTTATTAGAAACAGGAAACAAATCAAAGTCAAACTGCTGAAGTCTGGCCGGCTACTTTTGCAACTTATTAATGCCAATTCTCATAAACGGCCATTGTTCTCTTGCTTTGCAGCTCTACATAAATGAAATCCTGATATGGGCTAATGCATGAATAACTGCAGCATGTTCACTTCCTGCTTACCGCCTGTCTGTCTGTGCTGCTGGTTTCCTCACTGACTGCAGGGACTTCACTTTCATGCCACTCCTCCTCCTCCTCCTCCTCCTCCGTTCTGCTCTCTGCAGGAGGTGCGATGCTCGGCTCCTCGCTGAACGCCGCCCAGGACTCCTCCTCCTCCACCTGTTGCTGCTGCTGCTGATCTCCGAAGGCGCTCCACCCTGTGTCCGCCTCCCCGTCTGCGGCCGAGCTGAAGTTACCAAAACTGTTGCTGACGGGGAAGTCTTCAAACTTGCCTCCATCCTCCTCCCCCACGGTTCCACTGGCGTGAAATTTGGGGGAGTTAAAGTCTCCAAAGTCATCCTCCTCCACCTCCTCCTCCACCTCCTCTGTGTTTGTAGCTTCCTGAGCAGGAGCAGGACTCTCCGTCCGGCTCGGCTCCTGCTGCACGTCCAGCTGTTCAAAGTCTGCAAAGCCCTGACCGCTGAATGAGCCGGCGTCTCCAAAATCCCCGTAGTCCTCGTCGTCGTCCTCCGCCAGCTGGCTGTAGTGGGCGGGCGTGGCGGCGGTCTCCCCCTGGAGCGGCGGAGAGGGCACCGAGCCCGTGGTGCTGATGTCCCCAAACTCCTCCAGAGCTTCTGTGGAGAGCGGCCGACCCAACGACGTCTCCGTCTCGTTCCCGGAGCCCTTCCCGTCAGACTGTCCCTCCTCAGCGTCCGGAGAGAGGTCGTCTTCACTGCCTCCGTCTGTGGAGTCGTCCCCGTCGGCTACATCCACCCCGTTCAGGGTGAGGGGTCTGTTAGTGCAAACTGCCTCTGAGGCCTCCTGTGCAAAAGCTACGTCTCTTTGTTCAGAGTCAGAGTGGGGTTCCCGGTCTGTGTTGCACGAGCCGTCCGGGCCCTCAGCGGGACCAGAGTCAGAGTGGGGTTCCCGGTCCGTGTTGCACGAGCCGTCCGGGGCCTCAGCGGGACCAGAGTCAGAGTGGGGGCCCCGGTCCGTGTTGCACGAGCCGTCCGGGCCCTCAGCGGGACCAGAGTCAGAGTGGGGTTCCCGGTCCGTGTTGCACGAGCCGTCCGGGCCCTCAGCGGGACCAGAGTCAGAGTGGGGGCCCCGGTCCGTGTTGCACGAGCCGTCCGGGGCCTCAGCGGGACCAGAGTCAGAGTGGGGGCCCCGGTCCGTGTTGCACGAGCCGTCCGGGCCCTCAGCGGGACCAGAGTCAGAGTGGGGGGCCCCGGTCCGTGTTGCACGAGCCGTCCGGGCCCTCAGCGGGACCAGAGTCAGAGTGGGGTTCCCGGTCCGTGTTGCACGAGCCGTCCGGGCCCTCAGCGGGACCAGAGTCAGAGTGGGGGCCCCGGTCCGTGTTGCACGAGCCGTCCGGGCCCTCAGCGGGACCAGAGTCAGAGTGGGGGCCCCGGTCTGTGTTGCACGAGCCGTCCGGGCCCTCAGCGAGACCAGAGCCACACGTGTCGGGTCCAGTTCTGTTTGTGTCCCTGTCCTCTGATGTGTTGTCCTGCTCTACATCACAGTGCTCCTCGTGGCAGGCAGCCTCCGCCAGCAAGCTGCCTCCCGGGGGATTGTCCGAGTCCTCGTTTGCCGTCTGGCTGCCGTGTCCTTCAGCATTGGAAAAAGCAGCAAAGTCTGCAAAATCATCCTCGGCTGGGACGCTGCCCGTGTCCTCAGTTGACGTTGCTTTTTTACAAGAGTGGACAGAATCCTGCGAGGAGGGGCTTCCCTGCACATCGAAGGTTGCAAACCCGTTTGTTAGCACTTCAGAGCCTCCGCCGTTACAACCAGCCGGCTCGCTGTCGCTCACGGAGAAATCCACAGAGCCCGAGAGGACCTTTTTAATCTCAGTTCTTTCTGAGGGGCCCAGGTGGCTCCCCGGCACAACGCCATTAGCCTTGGACAGCTCGTTGTGGGTGCCGTTAGAGGAGCTGTGGCTGAACGCCGTCAGCCCCCTGCTGTTCAGGAGCTCAGGGGGGGAAGTGGCGCTAAAAGCTTCATTCTGGTTAAAATTAGCCGGGGTTTCGAATTCTGTGAAGCTGATGCTGTGAGGGACGTTGGAGAAGGTGTCGAAGTCTCCAAACTCGTCCTCCTCCTCGGCGCCGTCCTCCATCGGGGGCGGGGAGGAGCTGTACAAGCGGATCACATCGGGCTCCATGATTCTCTGGCAGTCAACGAATCCTCCTGGCTACACCTGCAAGAGAGAACTTTAGTTTAGTTTGTTTAGGGTCGTGGACAGCTTGAGCAAACATTGCTCATTTCCAGCTGTTGTCCAGATGATGACAGACACCTTTTTGAAATCACAACAACAGCATTAGTTATAAAGAAAGGATGAAAGAGAAGTAGATAAAAGAGAATATCTTTACTACATACATGTCACATCACATGACAGAGACGAGGGGTCCATGATCACAACATGTATCACAGACGCCATATCAACACAGAACAGGCCTCATCAGAAACAAAGTGTGTCACCGAGGAGAATAAACCCCATCCACACAGGGAGTGAACTCGTCTGGAGCTCCAGGGCCGATTATCGTGATGTGTGGTTTGAGACGAAGCAGAAATTGAATTACGGAACCACTTAAAGGGACGAATGGCGTCACGTTGACAGTAATGAAGTGGTAATGAGAGACCTGTGCGGTGATGTGTAAACTGAGAGTGCTGTAAACAAACAGTGAGTTAGAACTATAAAGTATTCACACAAGTTTTATCTATTTGATGTCTACTCAAACTTACAAATCATCTTGACTGGTTTTATATCTTTCATCAACCCTCTCTAGTTGCATGTTTTCGACTGCCAACAAAATATCAAGTTATAACACGTGATGTTATCATCACTTCCTTTCTCTTGAATATGTCCTTAGAATCTTTGTGGGTCTGTAAAGTTCCTGGATGTGCTCCAAAAGTGTTATCTTTGTGTGTGTTTGATGTTAGTCCATTGTGTGCATTAGATTAGAATAAAAACAATCCACTGTTTACAATAAAAAATAATGTTGTCTTTTGAAATGTGTGATATTTTCCATGAAAAGATCGTTTACCCGCAGGAACTATTTGTTGTAAATGGAAAATAAGAGTAATTCAGAAATAATGACATGTGTTCAAAAACATGGCAGTGTTTTGGACATTTAATTATTTATACATGAAGAGTGCATGTTTTCCAGTGGATGACTTAAATCGATGCCAGAAAATGAATCCGTAACTATCTTCATGATCAGTTAATCATTTAAATCTTCTGTCAAACACAAACATCCCAGTTTCTAAAATATGAATTGTTTCTGCTTTTCTAAATGTCAGTTTAATATTTTGAGGTTTTAGAACATGTAAAAAGGTTGCTTTGGTCTCTAGGAATAACAACCAACAACTTTTTTTGTTGGAAATGTTAAAAAGAATCATTTGAAATAGTCAAAAGGTGCCGGTACTTTTTTCAAAGTACACATTTATTTCATAAAGATAGGAAATTACAATCCTGTGTGACCCAAAAGTATCTGATTTCACAAGAGTTTCTTCCTACTTTGACTGAGAAGTGGGCGGCGTCTGAAATGTGCGGTTGCTTTGTTGGCCTTATCTCATTGAATACCTGGCAGCAGGTACGTCTACACCCAGCCCCGGCAGCGCTGACTAAGAGTACAGATATGCAGGTCCAGAGAGACAAGTTAGAGAAAACACATAAATATGTAGCCCCTAGCTCCTTTGTTACCAAGGAAACTGATGTGCCTCCATCACAATTTAAGCATGTCATTTGTCCTTCTGCTGTGCTGTACTCTCTGAACCTCTCAGAAGACTGGGTTGAGTCACTGTGTCCAAAATAAGCCACAATGTAAGTGACAATGTTAGCAGTGGTGGAAAGAAACTAAGTATAGTAAGTTAGATACAACTTTAAAAAAGTACTTTTACTGGCGTAACTCCTTTTTCTGAAACTGTATACTTCACCTCGACGACATCTGAGACACAAATCTACAATTGAATGCACTCTTACAAGTAACTTTGCAGATTCAGATTAAACATCTTAATCAACTAATACATTGTGATGTCATATTAAAAAGGTGAATACAGGTTGACATAGCACTCCATAAATTAATTCACATGATTATAATCGAGTAAAAAACACCATACTCTAATAGGCCAATTGCATGCTGGGTTTTGAGTGGATTTTCATGCTAAAAATGTTCATTTTAAATGCAGGAACAAAGTATTTCTACACAGTGGTATTGCTACTTTTACTTGCGTGAAATGTCGGAGCACTTGTTCCACCACTGCTGTTTGGTTAAAGCAGCTGTTTTAGACCAGCCCTTTAAACTAAAGTTAATATTTAGCAAACTCAATATGTTATCTATTGAGACGATCTGTCGCCGTCATTACAAGGTTTGCATCTTTTGACAATTGTTTATTTCAGAATCCACAAACTCAAAAGCAACCACTTTAGGCAATTTCTCGAGTTTGACACATTTTCCCCTACTTGTCTTAGGTTATAATTGCAACTAGGTGAAGACGGCTCTAAGCTAAATCGGTTGGCATCTAGCTTAGCAGGCTAAAAGGATAATGCTAACGTTTGCTCAGTATAAACCTGACAGCTCAGAGGAGTTATGTAGATTTAAAAACGACTAACCTAGGATCAACCTAACATGAAGCTAACAGCTATGGTAGCTTTAACTAGGAGGCATCTAATTAAACTACAAGGCCGAGACAGTTCGCAGAGATGGGGTGTAACGGGTGCTAACCTAGCTTAGCATGCTAATGTATGAGCGATGTTGCCAGTTAACGGCAGAGATGGGGTGTAACGGTTGCTAGCTTAGCTTAGCATGCTAATGAACGATAGCGATGTTAACGTGTCATTAGTTTGTCGCCCCTTTGCCGTGACGTTTATATGGATAAACAGGGTGATCACACACATATAAAGACTATATAAAAGCAACACCATGACATATGAGTAGATGAGAAGTCCAACACCTCGGATAACTACGCAGCTAGCGACAACAACAAGCATCTTCCCTGAGCTTTAGCTTTAGCTTCAGCCTCCTCATCCGGCTGGGTTTGACAGCAGGTGTCTTTAGAGAGAAACAGGTGAGCTCACCGTGAGATGTCCTCCGCTGATGTCCATGACTCAGGTAAAGCCGGTGCCGTCCATAAGGTGTCAGATGTGGGCCACCTGAGGAGTGCCGGACGGCTGAAAGTGAAGCAGAAACTGAAGGTTGAGTCAGCCGGTGCCGCTGCTGCTGCTACCCTGCCTCAATATCACCCAGCATGCACCGCGGTGACAGGTTCTTTCAGCTGGCTCCTCCAAAACTTTCCATGTTTAACAGGTACTTCAGTTCAGACAGAAAATCACAGATTTCACAGAAAAACACTTTGGTCAAACAACGTGGACTGAATCACAGGTCGTTAACATTTAAGCTCCATGAAATATATATATGTTTAAGTCACAGTCTGCACAAGGCACCAACAAGATGTCAAAGTCTTGTTGATTGGTTAAAAGTTGAGCAGATGTTTTAAAACCAATTTTATTTTTTTTATATTCAGAATATTTTAGTAAAATATCTGAAAATATTCCCAAAAATATAAAAATATCTGCTTAATTGCAATTAAAATATCAATAAAGACATTGTCCAAAACATTATTAAAGCATCTGAAACAAATGGTTTAACCCTTTCATGCATAGAGGTAATATACAATATAAAATAAAATAATAATAATAAAATAATGATAATAATAAAATACAATATATTGTCATATACAATAAAATCCTAACGTTTGCATACATTTATCCTGTTTTTTAATGATTCAGAATCAATATTTAAAGTTGTCATTTCTTTGTATTTGATGAAATGTTGTACTGTTGTATATCTCATACAGATATTCATATATTTAAATATGGATGACAGCAGGACATCCCACGGTGTGGTTTGAGGTAGTCATCAGATCACAGAGGCCTCTTCATGGTTTGTTTACTCAGAAAAATATAAAAACAGTCCTACCCAAAGCCTCAATGGCCTTTAGTTAACCCCATTATTTTCTGTTTATTTTCATGCTACACATATTGTATTTTATGATATTTACAGTTGTAGTAGTTGTGGTCTGTGGGCTGAACATCTGTTATAGAAGGAGCTTCATTTCCAACATGGCACTGCTGTGGACAGGAGCAGCAGCAAAACATTTTATTTTATCCCCCTAAAATAAACAAGAATATTTCAGGGGGAACTGAAGCCGATATCTACTCTCTTTAAAGCCACTACACTATTTTCAGAAACACAGTAGTTTTACTTTGCGGAAAATGGAAGTGGCCGGTCTACCGCTTCCTCAATCCGTTATTAAATGTGTGTTATTGTGTGTGTTGAATATGAACTAACCCGTAAAACAACGAACTGACACAATGAAAAAACCAAAATAGGATTTTATAAACTCTCTGGAAACACATTTTTTAGTCTGGGTGTTTGCTTTCACACAGTCACACATGCCCATTTTCAAACTGTTTCAGTAGATCAAAAACATATTTGTCATCAAAATTGAGGCTACTGTTTTCTGTATATTAAATATTTTGTACAAAAAAAGTCAGGAGTGAATGCAGAGTGTGTTCAGAGGAGGAGAAAACTGTAATTGTACGTCTCAAAACATGGAAGTTGCTGATCTTACACTTCCTTGATCAGTCAGTCTGTTATTGTGTGGTCATAAAACACTTTTTTCTCCCCATATTCAACATTTTGTACAAAAAGGTCCACAGTGAATACAGAACATGTTCAGATGAGGGGAGTCATGGCAGTTTGAGCTCAACAGAGTCTGTTTGAAATCTTCTCAAATGTTCAGCAGTGCTGTGTTTTCCTTCAGGCCAGTTTAGTGATAGCGACGCTACCTTTGATCCACAACGTGTCAATGTCTCTGAGTGACGTCAACCTGTGCTGAAAGTCAAACAGCTTCTGTCCGTCCACAAACGCACGAAAGCGACTGTGTTCACAGTGAATCTCAATCTGGGAGGAGACAGAAAGTGGAAGTTTGGTTAATTTTGGTGAAAGGGTCTATTGTTTTTGGCAGTTCTAAATGAATACGATAATACTTTATTGGTCAGATCAAGTGTGAAATGTGACTTGCATCACAGTAGCTCCATGTGTAACATCAACATGGACAAATATCAAGACACAACACATGAGAAACAAACAACAATATATATCCTTTATTTAACCAGATAAAGTCTCATTGAGATTAAAATCTCTTTTCCAAGAGCGACCTGGCCAAGAGGGCAGCATGAACAAAGTCACAACAGATAAAACACAGTGAATACAGGCAGAGGAATACAGCTTTCAAACACAAATGAAATGCCAGTCAATATGCAAAATAAAAGAAACTATTAAAAAATCATTAAAAACTGGCAAAATGCAAAACGACTAGAATTAAGGGATATACGAGCAATCACATCGACCAATGGTTTTGTGTTCTCTGTCCTTTAAGATGGACTTGAACTCCCCCAAGGTGATACAATCTGAGAGTCGTTCCAAGCAGAGGGGGCAGCATATTTAAAAGCTGTTTTACCCAGTTCTTACTTTAGGAACCAGCATCTGAATACAATCTTGGGAGAGCAGGCCATATATACTTTCTCTTTTACACATATATGTGCAAATGTAAGAGGGAACCAGCCCACGTAATGCACAATGGTAATCAGTATCCAATCTCTTTAGGCACTGACATAGGCAACACACATGTAACATAACAGCACAATCAGTGAGAGAAAAGCTGCTCAAAGAGCCTTCATTTGATCTGGATTCAGCGCTGTGTTTACTGAGAGGATTGACTGGAGCACAAAGGATGCTTCAGTCTGACTTTGAATCTGTTCCTGCAATTGACATCTGTCATTTTCCTTGTATTAAAAAAGTTAGCAGCTGCCACATGAAGACTATGAGAGTTGCGTGTGGTACCTTGAAGGGCAGTCCTCTGATGAAGGGGAAGAAAGGCACGGCTCTCTCGGTTTCTCCCCAGGATCCGGACTCACAGGCTTGCCGCAGGATCTGTCGGTCCTTGAACCTCACACAGAGCTCCAGAGCCACGTCCACAGGAGGCTCGCCCCCTGTTCCCCGACCACACGTCAGAGCGAAGTAAAACCTAACAGAGGGACAAATACCAGCCATAAATCTGACACGGATCTGACTTCATAATTGATTCTAGGAAGGCCTAAACAAAAACAGAAGGGAGGATCTAAGATAGCTTAAACGAAAACATTTTTTATTTTTTTAAAAACAGCTATTGTTACTATAATTATTATTTATTTGTATTTTGTTATTTTTATCTTTTTCACTAGAAATATCTGCCATCTACTTTGGGTAACCCAGCAGCACAATATTGTATTTGAGAGCAACAGAATAAGGAGAGCAAGACCCGTAAAAAGTTAATGATATGTCCTTTAGAAAATGTCAGCTACATGTAGGTTCTGGTGTTTAGTTTGATTTGGACAAATAAACATCATTAAAAGTTTGCTGATTCATCTTTTGGTTTTTCCTGTTTCAGTGAACAAACTGGATTGCTTGTAGAAAACCTAAAAATGTGATGATTCTGAGCAAAATCATGCCGTCCTTCTTTCCCCCTATGATTTATGAGAAGATTACAGATGTTTTTCTTAATAAACAGCGGAAATAAGGATTTCTTCAGGAAGTTAAATGTAAATGTTCCTCATGGAGCAAAGTTTGGTGATTTGTAGTGTGAATTTCAGCCTGACGGTGGAACTAGAAGTAAGTCCAGGGGTGCGTCTCACTTCGGTTATTTTTCATTTCCTCGCTCTTCGGGCTCGGTATCACCGGAAGTTGATTTGTCTGCGCCATCTTGAGTAGCGTCCCAGTGGCCTTATTTTTGCCGGATGACCGGGGATCGAGGAGCGATAACGGAGGAGCGATAATTGAGGAACTACCAGACCATCCTCCGGTGAAATCCTCAGATACTCGCCCCGCCCCCTTACTGTGTATCGCTCACTGATTGGACGATGCAGCGCATGCACTGATCTGGCTGCTGTCAGGCGATCAGCTGTGCGGCGTCTTCACAAACGGACGTCGCTTCACGTGACGCTCCGGAGGAAACGACGTCCCATTGGCAGGGGCGCCCCCAGGGATTTTGGGCCCCATGAAAATATATCACAATGGTTAATTAAACATTGTTTTCTTAATGTTCTAAAATAGTTTGGGCCCCTGTCAGTCACAGGCCCTTAGAATCGTCCTAACTTTTCACCCCCTTACGGCCCCCCTGCCCATTGCTCTTAAAACTAATTTCCCTGCTTCTCGTGGTTTCCTTGCGTCTCTCCACGCTTCCCTGGTGGAAGGGACTAGTCGCAGGGAAACGACGCAAGTGAGGGACACAAGGAATCCATTTAACCAAAGTGAGATGCACCTCAGGAGTCCTTCAAAATCATTCAGATCCATTCTCTGCATATCCACACTGTTAGCATTGATACTGAAGGAAGGAGTTGGATTAATAAATGCAAGATTAGATGAAATACTTTGTACCTGTCAGGACGAGAGTCTACGACCCCGATCATGACAACCTTCTTCCCCGGAGACATCCCTCCTGTGATGTGACCTCTGAAAGGAACCGCCTGCACACAAAACATTTACATCAAACAAAGGAAAATACTATCAAGGTGACTTTGTATTATGTAAAAGACAAAAATGTAAGTGTTAGACAAAGAAAATGGGAACATGACATATACAATTGATGCACTGGATAAATTCAAATACATGTATTTACTGAAACATTTTATTTTATTTAACATATTTTATTTGAGGATATATGAGACACAGTTTTATAGGCTATTTCCCACAGTTTAATGCAAATCAATGTTTATATTTTATATAATGTCAATTTCTGGATTGTCTTTTTGATTTTCTTACTCTCACTGTTAAAATAAACCTACCATTCAAATTATACACTGTTAATTTATTTGTAAGTGGGCAAACTTGCCAAATCTGCCAAATCTTTAAGATAAAGTTAACATTTTAATCTTAACATTATTAAATTAAAGTTATAATTTGGAGAAACAGTTACCAGACTTCTCTCGGCTTCTTTTTCAGGAGGACGAACACTCGGTTTATTTTCATCAGGTGGACTTCTTTGTGGAACGACCCATTTCTGAAAAGTGAAAAAAAGATAAATAATTAATAATAGCTATCTGTTTTGCATTTTCAGATATAAATGGAAATATTTGGATTGTTTGAAAACATGTGCAACTTAACAATTAAATAAAATACAAATATAGAAAAATAATCTGCATACATATTTTGATAGT